ACGAACGACAATCAGTGCTATCATACCGGTTTATTAGAAAGGACATTTTGCATGCAAACAATCGTAAACACTACGAATTGTTTGGCACTTCAGGTGGGCGGTACACTCCTTCTAGGACTTTCGAGTGTCAAAATTTAGCAGTTGTCATAAATTTAAAACAGTAAAGTCAACTAACTCAGTTGCTGTGGCATAGCAAAACGTGGGACCATCTTTGCAGTGAAGGCGAATTTTAAACAGAGTTAGTGCTAACCTTAGGAATTTTTTTGCGAGTGGCACTGCAAAAAAGGTAAGACAAAAAAGATCTTCTACCTTTTTGGCATTTCCATGACCATATTTGAAGTTTTGATATGCCATGCCAAAGTCGGTCACTTTGCACACATAGTTGTTATCAAGGAGGACGTTTCGAGCTGCCAGGTCACGATGAATTATCTACCAAAAGAAAAAGATCCAAAATGTAAACCAGGGGAAAGATTATGTAGATGTTTGCATGGTTTTACAATAAAATTCAACCGACAGAAAAAGTTACAATCATACAAACTCAACTACTTTATTACATAACGTGTAATAGGAGCGACTCAAATAAACAATACTGACAGTAATTATCCTCATTAACTTACTTAAGCCCTCTACAAACTACAGTGTATATCTTATCTCGCCACTACCTCAATTTCAGAGTTTCCTGCTAAATTCCATGAGATGAAAAGTCTTCCACAGCAGCTCTCTCTATCTTAGTATAGCGTTCAGACAGGCGGTCTTTTCCGACAACAGCAACAACTCCTACTACACGACTGAGTCCTTATATACATTTAAAAAGTATTCCGGAACATTCCAAAAGCTTACAATACAAATATTTCGGTAGTATTACATCATAACCACAAAACCTAACAGAATATTCTAGAGGGTTCAACAGAAAGTTGATGCAAGTAAGTCCTCTTGATACTTATCCATATCAACGGGCGGTAAGAACTATTGTTCCTAGGGTTTTCGTTACAGACCAAAGAAATACCAAAATCACTGTGACATCAGATGACCCATTAACAATATTAAAAGAATCCTTGGCCTTCAGAAACATTCATAATGTCAAACCTGCTTTCAAAAATGTCGTTTAATTTAGATTTATCGATATTCAAGACAATCAAAAGGTATAAAAATTCTTACTATTTATCTGAGGCAAAATTGAATGTAGTAGCATTTT